GGTGCATTGATATATGCGTAGTGCACGATACAGATTATATGAGTAGAATGTATCGTGTAGCAAAAAAAAATTTCTTTTGTGATTGTTTCGGAATGGTGGGAATAATTAATATCGTGACGTCATATTGTTTGTTGAGATGCGTGAATTTGTGTGTGACAAGAGATATGATGGGTGTTTCTGTTTCTTTTATTCAGCGATTGATTTTCTGATTCGGATTTATCCGAATCACCCGTGCAAAAACCGACGGTCAAAACGCGAGACGCGAGAGCGACTGCTCAACATGGTACTACCACAAAATGGCAAAGACACGAATGGGCGCCAGGTGTGGACTTGCTGCTCCTACAAAGAGAGTGGTGATCTGCGAAGCCTCCACGGACGTCGGATCCGATGCGTCTCTCCTCGCGTTCGATGTTCGTCCCGAACGGGACCAGTAGCTGGGTTATATATAATCGGAGGCGGGGCAGTTCGCCTGGTCACGCTAAGATTGGGAACGCAATCACAAGAAAGGAGGTTCAGTCAAATCAGTGGTTTGCCTTTATTAATCCAGGCCATTTGCAATAACAAAATGCGCTATACGGTAGCATCTCACATAACAATATTTGGACTTTCACGATAATAACCTGCGTTGGACTCACGGTGTCCGCCGGTAAGGTGGCCAGCTGTTCGAACGGCGGCCGAGCCAAGGCGAAAGGAACAGTACGAGACGGTACGCACGCGGGATAGGTCCCGCGGCGCGACCCCAATACCACCACCGACGGATGTTATTTTGATTGTCGATATCGCCACTTTCCCCAAAGTCCGGCGGAAAGGCTGCACTGCGGTCGACAAAACGGACAGTCCCCGTGATAAATTTTAACAAGATGCGAATGAGTGGTCTTACAATAAATTGATGCTCTTAACGATTGGCTTCCTGGTGCTGCTCAAATAAGATTTCGTCCTCTCTGGCTGGCACTTCCTCCATTGCTCTCTCTATCTCGCTCGCTGTCTCTCTCGCTCGCTATTCCTCTCGCTCGCTCTTGTGTACCACAAAAACAACCTAATATTCTGCACGAAAATCAAAATGAAAGCTCTCGATAGGCGGCGGACCCACAGGTATTAAGCAGATCCCCTTTCTTCTTTGTTCTCCAAGTTCGTTTATTTATCCGGCTTATTTTTCCGGTCGCTCCCTGTTTACCGACGGCGGCCGATCGACTTCCTCGGTTTGCCGTCTCGCCTTCTGCCCCGGTAGCTCGGCTCCACATCAGAACTTCCGCTTGTTGTTCGAGCTGTTCTTGGACGCGTCCTCGGCTCGCCGGTTCTACCGCTGAAAACGGCGAAATACAACAGTTTAGACGGAGTCGATAGCAAGGTTTCGACAGCAAGAAAATAAATAGAGAGGGTCACCTGGTGTCGGTCCGCATTTTCGGGCTGCCATCACTCCTCTACCCGGCCGGTGGGACTTGCTTGTTCCGCGTCCACTTTCTTCTTCTCGTCGCCATATGAAGCGCGGGTGGTACATTTCCTCGAGACACGGTACTCACCTCTTAGGGACACGCGCACCAAAGGTACGCGGTCATCGCTACACGGTATAAAAAAAAGTCCTCCGCACCAATTTACACACTTGCGTGGAGAGCACCCTCTCGCGATAGGACCACCTAGGAGGCATTCGCCTCTTACGATGGGCACTTAACAATAATAAACCGCACGTCAATTCATATAAAATATTTCTTACAATCGTTGATACATATTTCCCTCTCAATCATAATTACCATGTCAGCTACTTTGTTTTTAAAATTATCAGTCTATTTATTATATTAGGTGTTTTAATTATTAGGTGTACAAACAAATAATCTAAATATTTTAACTAAATATGAGATTAATTTTAAGACAAATCTTTCATTCAAAGTATTCGCCGTTGATTTCTATAACTTTAAGCTATCTTTCAGGCAGCTGATAAATTCTATCTATATCTCTAAAAAAATGCTGTGTTTTGGAGACGATAAATTCATCAAGCCATTTTCGGATCACATCCATTGATTGGAAGTGAATATCGGTCAAAGCGTGCTGCAAGAAACGGAACAAGTGATAATCAAAAGGAGCAATGGCTAGTGAATATGACGGGTGCTACAAGACCTTCCAGCCAAGATTCATTATGGTGGCTTTTGTCTTGGAAACAATGTGTGGCCTGGCATTATCATGCATCAATTTTATCGGACGTTCTACTTTGACAGTATACGGGCATTTCTGTTCCAATTATTGACTGAAACAAATTAATTGGCGTTGGTACCAGTCCGCACTATAACTGTTTTATCCGGTTCCATCAGTTCATAATAAAATACACCCTTGATATCCCAACAAATTTAGAGCAAAACTTTCCGAAGCAATTGGACTTTGCGACCGATGTTCATGGTTCGCCAGGATTAACCAATGAATTTCTGCGATTCAGATTATCATAAAGTATACATTTATTATCATCTGTAACGATTTTCCGCGAGAAAGGTTTTCGACGCTGCTTATTGAGAAGAGAAGGACATGCTGCCACCCGTTCATTTTTGTTGGCTCCAGTGAGTATGGGCGGAACACATTTTCCTTCTTCTTGGAAATTTCCCATCTCATGTAGACGTTTGGAAACGTTTTGCTGCATTACTCCAAATTGCTCTGCAAGCTCCTTTTGCGTTTGTACCAAATATTCAACGAACAGTTGTTCTAAATTATCGTTGTCAAATTTTCGACGGTCGCCAGGATGTTGTTTGTTGATCAGACTGAAATAATCGCTTGTAAATACGAGGGTAGATCAAATAAAAACATGACTTTTTAAATTACGCGCCCGTCGGCGGCGTGAGGGGTCTGCAACGTTTTGGACAGTGAAGGGGGTCATGTGGAAGCCAGTAATAACGTTGGGGCGCCACGTGCTTCTTCCTCTCAACAGCAATCACGATAAGCGAGAAAGAGGTACACCCCGCAGTTGCACAACGTTTTATTATTAAGTTTCTTGTCAACGAAATTGTAACTACTGCTGAAATTCGGCGCCGTTTACTCACACAGTTTAGGGAAAGAACTATTTTATGTGCTCGCGTAAAGCAGTGATGAAACGAATTTAAAAAAGGACAGGAGCGTGTTGAAAACATTGCCCACCCGCGCCGTCCTCGCACAAGCATTACGGCGCAGAACACCAAGGTTGTTTAAGAACTCATCGAAGGCGATCGGCACTTAATTCTACTTGAAATTTCTGAGGAACTTCAGTTCGAGCTGCCTATCGGTCAAAAAGGAGCGACATTCCGATCAAAAGTGTGTTGCTTCTCTATGACATGACCAGACCTCACATTGCAGCAGTAACACAACAAAAATTGGCCGATATGAACTCGGCTATCCTAGAACATCCACCCTACAGCCCAGACCTGTCACCAGGCGACTTCCATATGTTTGGGCCACTTAGGGAAGCCCTTGGTGGACACCGCTTCACAACGAACGAGGAGACGCTGCAGCTCGTGTGCAATTGATTTCATGTCCGCGAACTCTTTATGATACCGGGATTAAAAAATTATCAGACCTTTGGAGGAAATGTTTAGGTAAGATGGGGCACTATGTAGAAAAATAAGAAAAATATAAATTAGAATTAATTTTGAAAAATATATGTTTTTTTTTAAAAGGCTCATTCATATTTGATCCACCCTCGTAGGTTAAACCAAAATGCGTACACATTATTCGATATAACACCTCTGCCTAGATAGGTACAATCAATTCGCATGTTTTTGCAGCACTTTTTCTATGTTGGAATTCAAACAGAATACAGTGCCGGATACGTAGGTAGCTATTTATATTTCTGGCCTTCTTTTTTTTTTTTATTGCACATAAAGGGTGTACAAAAAGGTGTACAAGGTCTAGGAACTTAGCCTATCCGACCATAAGCGCTATAATATCACAGTTTGTTTACGACGGTTACATAATATTGACGTCGGAGAATAAACAAAATTTTTACAATCTTATATCAAGACCTCCCTCGCAAAGGGTGTACAAAAAGGTGTACAAGGTTTAGGAGCTTAGCCTATCCGACCATGAGCACAATAGTATCACAGTTAGTTTACATTAGCGTGGGTTACATAGTTTTGGCGTCAATGAATAAACAAAATATTTGATTACATAGCTTTGACATCAATGAATAAACAGAATTTTTATAATCTTATAGATAAATTGGTTGGGTGAATAACTGAGGATGGTTGTATACGCAAAAGGGGGAAGTTGTGTAGTAAGCGGTGAGACGGGAGAAAAAATAAAGAGAAAAGAGAGTATAATTACGCCTCCGCTGTCGTAAGCTTTAACGCATGTGTTTGTCGAGATTAAATCGCACGCAGACTTATGTGTCTAGGTTGCAAATGTAGGTGGAGTGGATGCGGCAAAGTGGAGGTAGTTTTTGGTCTTAAGATATTACGGACTTAGACCCAGTGAAGCGCCTGCAATTGAACACACAGGAAGGGTTATATGAATATATTTATTCCATTTATGAACTGGCCTAGTAGAGTGTAGCTTTTCAGATCTTTGGTCGCTAGAAGAGATTGGACCGGCCAAGGCAGGGTACGAAAGGTGGTCATTCCGCTTCGCAACAAGATATCCCTCTGAGCTTCGAAGCGAGGGCATTGCCAAATTACGTGATCCGCGGACTCGAGTGTATTGCAGTGAGGACACTCGGGGGAGTCCACGATTCTAAACCTAAAAAGACTCTCATTCAAAGAGGTATGCTCCAATCTAAGCCTGCAAATCGAAACCACCGGCTTTCGATTGAGCTTACATTCCTCAAACCAGGGTTTGCGTCCGGGGAAGTGATAGTACCGGGTGAACAGGCTTCCTTTGTTAAGAGAGTTTTCTTTTAACCAATTCTCGAAATCATCATATAGCCTTTTTTTCCAATGACCCTTAAGATCGCAAGGTTGATATCTAAATAGGGTGTTTATTCCCCGGGTGGACGCCTCCTTAGCTTTCCTGTTGGCTAATTCGTTACCGAAAATGCCTATGTGAGCTGGCACTCATATGAGAGAAATATCGAAACCCCAGGATTCCAATTCCTTGATGTCATCTTTTATGTTGCTGACGTGGGGGTTGACTTTCCCTGCAATGTCAATTGTGTTTAGAGCTGAGAGTATCGATTTAGAGTCGGAGAAGATTCTTATTTTTCTGAAGTTGGAGTAACGAGCTGCGTATAGGGCCTCTCTGATACCCAGAGCCTCCACTGAAAAGATCGGGAGGAAGGCTGATGCTCTAAAGAGGCCAGAGTATTCTTCGTTCACGGATGAAAAGGCAAGACCAGCAAAGGGATTGTCCGGGGATTTGGAACCGTCAGTGAATAAGTGTAGATATTCGTTTTCAAGATTACAGAAAAGCTCGTCCATGCATGCGTTCGGGTCACGTGAATCTCTCAGATAATAACCTGAGGTTAAGTCGACCTTGGGTAAGAAGGTAAAGGATTGGAAAGGGAGGGAGCCACTATGGGGTCGGTCCTCGGAGTAGAGGTTTGCAGAGAAGTGAGTAGTGTCATGGTAACACAAAAGTAACTTGGGAAGTGTGGAAAAAGTCGAGCGAAGGGCGGAGTTCTTGAGGAGGTCTGTGAAGTCATCCAGGTGTAGGTTTAAAGGGTGACCATCTAGGGCTAAAGTTTTGGTAAGAAACATTCTACATAGGTAATCGAACCTAAGGTCGAGGGTAGGTTCCTTGGATTCGGCCAAGATCACATTAATTGGAGTGGACGTCCTGTATCCCAGCGCCAAACGTAGAGCCTTGTATTGAATTCTGTTGAGTTTTTGATAGGTTTCGGAGCTGAGGTTGTGGAGAAGGAAACCTCCGTATTCGAGTCTGGAACGAATGAGAGCCCTATAAATTCCGAGCAGAATCGATGGGTCTGCACCCCACCAGGTATGTCTAAGGCAATTTAAAATTTTGAGGGGATTTTGACAGGTATTCCAGATATGATTTACATGTTTGTTCCACTTGAGGTCGGAAGAGAGGATCATGCCTAGGAATTTTACGGAATGGTGTCTCGGGATTCTGTCTTCGTTAAGGTTAAGGTGAAGATGACTAATATTGAGGTGGCTAGATGATTTTTTGAAGATGCAAAATTTCGATTTACTGGGGGAAAGACTGAGGCCTAAATCGTGAAGTATTCTACTAATTTTATTTAATGAGGTCTCCAAAGATTCAATGGCTTTGGGGATGGAGTAGAGATCGGAAAAGATGGCGATGTCGTCGGCGTATTGAATTATGTTACATTGAGGTGGGAGGGCATCTTCCAACTCAGAAGTATAGATGGTGTACAGAATAGGACTAAGGACACTGCCTTGAGGAAGGCCTTTGAATGTCCAGAGGATTTCATCTATATTGCCAAATTTGCAGTGAACTTCTCTTTCGGCGATGATGTTGTAAATAAAAGACAGGGTACAAAGTGGGATGCCGAGTGCTTTAAGTTTTTTAAGTAGAACATCCCAGAGGACATTGTCGAAGGCAGATTTGACGTCCAGGAAGGCAACAGCAGTAGAGGAGCCCTTGGCAAAGGATTTTAGGATGTTGGTATACAAGATGGATAAATTATCTATGCAGGATCTGTTTCTGCCGAAGCCGAATTGGGATTTGTGGAATTTCGTATGGTATTCGAGCCACCAGTTGAGACGGTTGTAAATCATTTTCTCCATTATTTTAGCGAGGCAGAGGGCTAGAGAGATAGGACAAAATTTATCAGGGTCTGCTTTAGGAATGAAAAACATGATGTATTTTTTCCAATCCGTGATCGACGTTCCAGAAGAGAAGATATCGTTGTAAATGTTCAAAGGATATTCTAGGCCATCGGGTAGTAAAGCGCTGATGATCTTGTAGTCAATAGAATCGAAGCCTGGGCTGGATTTGATTTCGAGGTTTTTAATGACGTAGGTCAGTTCTAAGAGGGTGAATGGGAGGTCGAGGAAAGGATCCCAAGCGTGGTCCTCAAAAGAAGGAGGTTGAACCTATGTCCAGAGGGGGCAGATCTCAGAAATCATGTTTTTAACGATGGACTCCTTAGCGGGACTATATAGAGAACTCTGTTTTCTGTGGTGGTATCTATTCTTGAATCTTTTAACCGTATTCCATATAAAGTTCGGATTAGAGTCCTTGTTGAGTTTTTCGCAGAACTGTTTGAAGCTGTCAATCTTTTTGTTTTTTAAACCTACTCTACATCTGGATTCCGCAATTCTGAAGTTGATGTAATCTGCACGAGTTTTGGTAAATTTGTATTTTAATAAAGCGGCTTTCCTTAATCTGATGAGTTTTTCGCAGTCCTTGTTCCACCAAGGAGATGGAGGAAGGAGCTTCGGTTTGTAAAGGATTGTGGATTTTGATCTAAGAGAGTTCTTGATGCTTCCAGTCGAGATAGTTATTGAGTCCTTGATGAGTTCTAGAAAGGCCAGGTAACGGGTGT